CTGTTTTTATTATAAAATTACTATGACAAATTCTTTTAATAAATTGATCAACAAACTTTTAAAAATCTTAAATAGTGGACCAATCATATAGTGCTATCCTATGATAGTAAATTATTTAGTATCTAATACCCCAATTGTGCAATTTTATTTTCTAAGTTCTATACAAAAAAAAAAAATCACCCATCATGCAATACATATCATTGTACAACAAAAAATTAGAACCAATCTGCTTTATTTTTTTAAAAAAAACTTTGTTATGCAACGAACGTAGTTGCGTAACAAAAAATTAGAACTAAGAGTTAGTGTTACCTATTTTATTTAAAAAACCCGCCCGCCCATCCGCTTTATTATAAAATTACACCAACACAAAGAAACTAATGGTAAAGTTTCAGCGAGAATGGCAATTAATATTCTGGCAAGAGTCCTAATGAAAATCTAGATGAAAGTCCCAACAAAAATTCAAGCAAAAGTCCAGATGAAAGTTCTAAGTGAAAATGCCAATAATAGAAACATAAGTATTAGAAAAAGTTGCAAAAAAAAAAAAACAATAAAACAAATTTAAATTACTTACTCATAAGATTCTAGCAAAGAAAAATAATGGTACCAATGATGAAGCTCCAGTAATGATGCTCAAGAAACAACGATTCCAATAGTGATCTATGATTCTGAAGTTGCATCTTGAAAAAAAAAAAAGAAGTTCAGAGAAAAGAAGCCAACTAAAAAAGAAAATAAAGAAACAAAAAAAAAAAAAAGAAAAAAAAAAGGAAAGAAAAAAAGGAGAATAAAAGAAAGATGGATAAAAAAGATAAGATGAAAGAAGAAGAGAAAATGAAAAAAAAGAGTGAAAGAAAAAAAATAGAAACCCGAAAGAAAGCAAAAAAAAAGCAAAAAAAAAGATAAAACAGAAAAAGAAAAAAAAAAATTAAAAGAGAAAAAAGATAGCTTTAAACTAAACTAAAAAATAGACAAAGTAACTAAAATTATACTAGTAGTCTTAGAGTATTATTAATGAATTTATAATATTTAAGCACATTACTTTCATGTGTTGTCTTTGATTCGCTCTTATATATCTTTAAACTGTAACTCTATATAGCAATATAGTGTAATATTCAAACTAATCAGGCTACATGAATTAGCAAGTCTACTAAAAAAGTAAATACTTATACAGTAATTTTCTATTTTAAATAATCAATAATACTAGCTGTTTTGAAAATTACATATCGATTTTTTGAAAAAGATAAGCTAAGATGCCACTTTTTAACAAAATTTACTTCAAAAAAGTGATGGGCCAACAAGACTTTTCTTTAGATATTTCTTATAAGTTTTATGGTTATATAGAAATAATTTAAAGTTTAAAATATTCTTGGTGTTAATCTAGTTATTCTGTATTTTTAAAATATCCTTCTGATTTAGATGCTGAATATAATAGAGAAGTCTATTAACTAAAGCTTAACCTTTACAAAAACTAGTTCAAAATAAACTACTCTCTAGTTTTATACTCTTAGTACTTTATTGACAACACATCTATTTTCGTAAAATTAAGTTTATTTATTATTTATTTTAATGTCTTCTATAGTATTCTTTTGTAGTTCAGTTTTTAGTTATTGTTGTCAAGGGATTATTAGAAAGAGTTGGATATGAATTTTAATTTTTAGTATATATAATTACTTTAACAATAATATTTGTTAATATATATATTATATACAGTTAGATCTCGATATAATCACCAGGTTAGGAAACAAATATTTGATGATTATAAAGAAGTGTAACTATATAAAGATCAAATTTTATATGTTTTATAATATTTAGAATTAAGAAATAGTGTGACTATAACAAGGTTGTGACTATATCAAGTGACTATAATGAGGTCTGACTATATTTACTAAATAATATAAACAGATTT